AAGTGCAAGAAAACATGGATTTTAATGTAACAGTGCAAAAAAACTTATTAATATGGTTTTAGATTCTATATTGAAGCTAATCTTTAAAAACTTACCATTTGTTGACTTTTCTAAGGCTAATATAAAAATAGCCACAATTATATTTAAAAATTTCAATAAAATTCCATCAGTTCTGCTTTCCACATATTTTAAAAACCTGAATAACTGTTCATTGAATGAAGAAAACTTAAATGCATACAGGCACATACCTCGAGCATATTAAGACATATGGCTGCAGTGCCGGCATCCCGTATGGGCACTGGTTCATGGCCCAACTGCTCCACTCCCGAACCGGCTCTCTGCTATGGACTGGGAAAGCAATAGATGGCCAAAGTACTTGGGACCCTGCACCCACACGAGAGATCTGGAAGAAGCTCCAGACTCCAGGCTTTGGATCGGCTCAGCTTTGGCTATTGCAACCATTTGGGGAGTGAACCAGTGGATGGAAGATTTCTCTCTGCCTCTTCCTCTCTGTTACTCTACCTTTCAAATACATAAATAAATCTTTAAAAGTAGATAAATAAAAAACTATGCTGACTTTCTTTTCTTTTCAATTAGTTTTGGTAGTTTGTGGCCTTTTAGAAATTTGCCCATCACAACTAGGTTATTTAGTTTGTTAGCATACACCTGTTCATTGTATTCTCTTATAATCCTTTCATTTGTTCTACCCTTTACAATTTAGAGATCATGCCCCCATTGCCATAAAATAGAAGCTGATTGCCTTTTATTACTTTGAAATTTCACCATCATCTCTAAGAGGTAGTTAGAACCTTTCAAAAATACCTAGATTAGTATAAATCACAAACAAACATGGTTGATTACTACTACTTTTGACCTAAGTCATTCACAATAGCTAATGTTATTTGATGTGTTTTTCTGAATGTTACATTCCCACATAATTCTGAATGTTACACTCTGAATGTAACATTCCTACCTAACTCTTAGTTTTGTATGCCTCTGCCCTTAACTGAATGCCTGTGCTCGGCATAAAAAATTTATAAATATTTTACCAGTGTTCATAACTATGTCCTTTATATTGTTGCGGAGGGGAGGATGTGGTAACAAAGATGGGAACTACCTTTGCCAAAAGCATGGGGCATTCCATACCATGTGTTTGTGTGTATCTCTTTCTCCATCTGACCTTGTTCCCAGTATTTGTGACCTCTCATAGGATTCCCTCTTGAAGATTAAAATCATACAAGTTTTTGGTTCTTTCATGTCTGGGACATATTTTTGTATCAAGTAGAGAAAGATCTGCTATATCAGTAATATTTACACTGTGAAAGAAAAACAAAATTACTAATTGTCCCCAAAGCAGCTTACCAAAAGATTCCCTCTAAGAAAGCTTTTTCTAGGAATATATTAAAATAAGGCTTTTCAGTTTTAGAAAATATCCATCCGTGAGCACAAATCTCAGTAAATTTTCTTGAACCAAATTAACATGCGTTATTCCCTTTTCCTGGAAGAAATCACTTTTTCCGTCCTAAGACAGATATTCTTTCATTTATCCACTTACAACGTCCTTATGTTCATATGCCAGGGATACAAAAGTGAACAAAAGGAAAAATGGACATATTTGCCCTCTTGGAACTTACATTCCAGTGAGGAGAGATAGGCCACAAACAGAACTGAAAAGTAAATGATAAGGCATACTAATATGTGATTAATGCTTCATAGAAAAAGGAAACAGGATTGAGCCGGCGCCGTGGCTCACTAGGCTAATCCTCCACCTTGCGGCGCCGGCACACCGGGTTCTAGTCCCGGTCAGGGCGCCGGATTCTGTCCCGGTTGCCCCTCTTCCAGGCCAGCTCTCTGCTATGGCCAGGGAGTGCAGTGGAGAATGGCCCAAGTGCTTGGGCCCTGCACCCCATGGGAGACCAGGAGAAGCACCTGGATCCTGGCTCCTGCCATCGGATCAGCGCGGTGCGCCGGCTGCAGCGGCGGCCATTGGAGGGTGAACCAACGGCAAAGGAAGACCTTTCTCTCTGTCTCTCTCTCTCACTGTCCACTCTGCCTGTCGTGACGAAAAAAAAAAGAAATAAAAAAAAATAAGGAAATGGAAGGAACCGGGATTGAAGAAATATGGGAACATCATTTCACAAAGAGTGGCCATGTGATTCCCTGGAATGATGACATTTGTACAAATAACTAGAAGATATTTTTAGGACACAGTTCGCCTTTTGAATGGGTGTCACTCTATGTTTCCCTCTTCAAAGTCTCCCTTTGACATGCAGCACCTGCTTTTCTACCCCATGTCAAACAGCACCCTGCTTCTTGTGTGTGCCTCTTCCACCTCTAACACTTCCATGCATACTTGTCTCCTTTCCAGTCCTCATCAAATATCTTTCCACTGGGCTTACTATGGAGGATGTTTTCTCACAACACGAGAGATACTTGTTCCCCCAAGTGACACTTTAAAAAAAAACATTTGACTTATATCATGAGAACCTTATAATAGATATATGTCCTCTGAAGAATTTCCCCTTTTGGATATGCTTTCCAAGTTCACCCTTCCAAATCTTCCTCACATGCTGCAATATATTCCGGAACAAGGTGCCAGTTTCGATTATATTTTATGGGCCATGATTCTCTCACAGGGGTAGCCTGCTGTTTTGTATGATTTAATTTTTAAAAAGTAATTCCAGCTAATTTAAAAATACAATGTTAAAGCTAATCAACAAATGTGAAATCCAATATTGTATGTGCACAATTGTAAAGCAGCCTACCAGTTTTTAAAATTTCATTCAGATACACACTTTTGTTGGAATTAGCAAGTGTCTCCAAAACCTGAATACAGGAGAACCATTGGTGACATTCCTCTAGGATATTTTTGTGAACTAAGGTATTATAGTCAAAGAATTTTTTATTGCATGGAGTTTTATAAGCATGAGCATTTCAAAGCTTGTAAGTTATATTTTCTCTAGTATCATGCAAAGAGAAAGAAATCTATTGAACACCTACTATATGTAAGGATTCTCACAGCAACATAATGAGTTATACCCTGATATCCTCATTTAACAAATAATGTAATAGGTTTAAAAAGGTAAATGCTTACTCCAGTCATACAGCTGTAGGCTGGCAAATCTGGGCTCTGTGTAACTCGTATGAGTCTAAGGCCCTCATCTCTCTTTTTAGTTGTTCATGTCATACTAGAACTCAAACCCATTCCAAATGGCAGTCATTATAGAAATTCAAACCATAAAAACTTACTAGCCAAAGAATGATTGAGTGACCCATAGCTTTTAAAGTATCCAAGGGATAGTTAATTGAAGAATCATCAATCTTCATGAAAAATCAATGCATGACTTTTGACAGGAAAAAAGAACAGGGGGTCAAAATACCCTACTCCCCATAAAAACAAGCACAAAATGTTTTGTTTCATTACTTTATAAAATTATCTTTGAAACATTTATTTTCAGCAATATTTGGGAAGCATAACAAGTATAGTCAGCATATTTCAGTAAATATGACAAATTCATTATTGAAGTTAATCAGTTGGCATGTGAATTAGAATTCTGGTGCAAAGTTTACTAACGGGAGTATATCTCTGTCCCTTTGCCAAAGTTGCAGCTATGAAGCTGTCACTGGAGCCAGCTTTCCTCTTGAATAGTGCTGGGCACTGATGGGTCCCGATGGTCATGATCTCTACACAGAGTATTCAGCTCTGCTCTAAGAAAACTGGTTGCAGTATCACAAACACTCTTAACCATGGGCCAGGCACTATGTAAGTTCACATCCCTGATCAAAGACGCTCAGACATTATGTAAGAGAGTGTGGATAATTTGGCACCCACAAAGAATCACTACTGGAAAAACAACCCGTAGCTTATGCTTTTTTGATGGTTTGCTGCTACTATTAGAATAATGATCATACAATTTATCATTTAAACTTGAACTCTTGAGGGAGCTGTTATGAGTAACTTAATGGGGATAACTGGCATCTACCTTGGGGCGGGGGTGCACCAGCAAGTGGAGGGCTGATGTTGCTCTAGCTGTTGGTATCATCTTTGTAAACATGAAAGACCAACATCTAAGCTACATGTACATGCCATGTCATGGTACAAGCTTTCTGGTATCCCTTCAGATGAAAGAAGTCTATGTTTTAGTACCAGCCAGAATTTGCCTGTTGTCTGAGTATCAGATGTCCACAATTAAATGAACTTTTGGACATATTAGTACACTGCAAGTGAGAACACTTGTTCCTATGTTACCTTTTTTCCTATGATTATGAAACCTGAGACAAAAGGCAGTATTATAGAAAAACTGAGGCTTTTGCTCTCAGCTATGGTTTCACAGCGCTTTGTTCATAATTAGGTATGGGCACTTAGTGAGATCTGTGGCTATTTGCCTTCTTCTGTGCATATCAGTGAGCAACTCAAGAACAAAAAGCTTATTTTACATGTAATCTCTGAAACATCTACACAATGCATCTTCAGTTCAGTATGTAAGGTTAATGTAAGGGTAGCAGAAAGGTTCTTAACCCTGAAACGATAGCATTTGCTACATTGACTAATGTTGAAGTTATAGAAATGAATTTTCGTTTTGGTTAAAAAAAATAGATCCAAGAAAGAATTTCCCATGAAAATCTGAAAGCGTTGCTAAGGCTCACTTCTACTTTGCTTTCATATGCAGATGTAAGAGTGAAAGCGAAGTAGACCATTTCAAATGTGTTCCAACTTTAACAACCGGCTGAAAAGCAACCTCAGCTTTGCCAGTTACTTGTTTAATCTCTACAAGGCCTTCTTGGTTATCAGCTTTTTGCTGCAGGCAGGCGCTCAGTTTTACCAGCCTATTTTTGTGTTTGCTAAGCAGAAGTTGTTGCAGCGTTTTCTAAGATGATTGGAATGGTAGATATTCGTTTTGAACTCACCCTGCTTGCCATACCTTTCTTTCTCTTCAGCCACCATGGAATCAGAGTTCTAAATAAAGAGCTTACATGTGTTTTCAAACAGCCAAATTCACCTCTGTTTATTTCGCCTCCAGGAATATTCTTTGGCTAGAAGCTCTGGTACTTCATTTGCTGGTAGCTCTGTTAAGTCAGACACCGACATACTTCCAAGATGGCCTTTGGACAGAATTCAAATAGAGCTGCTTCAGATTCTTTTTAAAAGTAGACAGGGCATAAATTCATATATTTTTGATAGTAACTATGGAAGAGTTGTGGCATCATGTCTTTTTTGGAATGAAGTGGGATATAAATAAATAGATAACTATGCAGAGTTCCATATCAGATATTTGTTTACAAGGAAAAGGTTGGATCCCTCCAACCCATCCTCTCTGTGGCTGCCAAAGTTATTTTCCTAAAGTGAGAAACTGATTCTTCCACTGCTCTGCTTTTCATTCTTTCAAGCCTTTCTTTCAGTCCATGTTTCTCATCTCCATTAGCAAAGCCTTGGGTCCTATATAACTTCCCAGACTCATATTGCACCACTCTGCCACATGCTCCTTTCATCCCTACATAGTAACATGGAGTTAGCCGAAATGACCCTAATTCCCCGTCCCTCCATACTTTGCAGTGTGCCTATATAGCATCTGCTGCTTTAGTTCCCACTCTGCTTCTGCCCTTGCCTAGTGATTTGCTTTGCCTTACAGACCACGGTGCTGTGCTTGTTACAAGTCTGGCTTTGTGTGCTTTAGCTATCTATGAGAACCTTGCATCTACCATGAAAACAAGCCCAGGCCAGCCTAGTGGAAGAGGAAAGTTGACATAGAGCAGAGTTAAGTCTTCCCAGCCCGGGCCATTTAAAACCAGCCAGTTCCCAGCCAAGTGAATCCAGCTTAAATCAACAGAATGCAGCCAAATCAAAAGATAGATACAGCATTCCCAGGAGAAGCAAAAATTCGTTATTAATAAGCTAATGGATTTGGGCTGTTTTGTTACGTAGCTGTTTGTGAGAAAATGTAAGGGACACACAAACCAAACTTCTTACGGTTCCTGAATATAGACATTTTCACCCCTTCACTGGTTTTAAAGAAGCTATTTTTGTTGCTTGGAATGAGACTCAATTCAGTTTGCAGCCATTAATATGTCACCCAGGTTCCCCAGGGATAATCCTACTTACATTTCAAGACCTTGCAACTTGAATTCCCCAGGCAAAACCCAGCAATAGTGTGGTGAATTAAAGTATCTCCTTTCCTCATCTTTGTCTTTCACACCTCAATGTTTCTCCTTTTCCCCCTGTGCTGCTTAGCACTTGGCATCCATCTACATTATAATAGTTGTCACATTATATTGAATTTTTTACACTTTGCTCTCTTCTACTGGACTGTAATTTCTTTGAAAAGAGAAACCATGCCATTCATTTTGGAGCAGCCAGGACCTAGGACAAGTACTGCACACATTTTAGATGCATGCCTGTTTTAATTTTCAACTCACTATGAGTCTATTTCTTATCAATGAAACTACATTCATAAAAATAAAGATAGAGAAATATACCACAATACAAGAGAGAATGATTGCCATTTATGTGTTAGGCTGCTTGGGGAAAACCCAGTATATGAGAATTGGCCACCCAAGGCAGAAAGTGCTGTGATACCAAAGGAAGATGCAGTTAAATCCAGGTGCCACTTATTAGGGATTTATTGGGTGGCCACAGGATGAAGGATCAACACACCCTAAGGCAGAAAAAGTTATCCCATGGCCAACCAGAATGTGCCTGTATTTTTAGAGAAATCCTAACATTTATACAACATTCCAGTCAACATATAGGAGTGGTAGGTTATCTTAAGAACTTTGCCTATCCCATAGGATTTGGGATGATAGTCAGGATCACCAAAAGAACAAGATGGTAGTTACAATCAAGTTGAATGTTGTCAAGTCAGGCTGGATCCCTAAACAGACACTGCTTGCATTCAGGAGATAAAACACAAGCAATAAGAGCATGTGGATAATTTGGCAACCACAAAGAATCACTACTAGAAAAACAACTCATGGCTTATGTTTTATTGAAAGTTTGCCCCAGGGTAGTGAGTTACTGATTGAGTGCTGGTTCAAGTTCTGGCAACTGCACTTCATATCCAGGTTCCTGTTGTACCCTGGGAGGCAGCAGATGATGACTCAAGTGTTTGGATCCCTGTCATCCATGTGGAAGACCTCGATGGAGTTTTTGGCACCTAGCTCTGTCTGACTCAGCCCTGGCTGTTAGCTGTTTTGGGCACTTGAAGAATGAACCGGGAGATGGAAGATTAATCTCTCTTGGCCTTGTACTCTTGCACTTCCTTTCTTTCAAGTAGATGCAAATAAAAAAAATAAACATTAAGAAGATTCATTCATGCTATAATGAAATAATTAAACCACCTATAAAACATATATGTTAAGGTCATCATAAAGATTTGTGAGTTTAGCAACCATAAAATGGTCTGATTTCTCAAATTCTTGCTTTATTCTTCAACTAAGTTATATTCTTATTGGAATTCATATATTTAAGAAAGAGGAGATGAAGTAGAAAAGAGTTAAAGTAATTCTGTCTTGGCAAAAATGTTTGATCATTATATACACTCCTCTCAAAATACATTTTCTGACCAGGAGAGATGATAAATTCACAAAATGGTTCGAATTTGTTCCAGTATTGCAATGTGTTCTCTACTTTTTGTAGCAACCATGGTATTTGGATTCTTTTGCATGTGTGGAATTGAGACTCCATCTAGACAGCTCAAGTGATGGAGGATAACTCTAAGGATACTAGGATTAAGTCTGACAGGACCTTATTTGAATAAATTCAAGACAGGAACAACAGACAGCCTTATCCAGCAGAATGGAAAGGTAAAAATGCATGTGAATTGTGCCTTCAGCAAAGGTCTCCACGTTTCTGTCATTAACTTACTTCCACTCTACCCTCCCTGGGGCTATGTACCATTACTCACTTTCGTTTTCCTTCCCCAGTGTGTCTGTTTACACCTTAATTAAACTGCTCATGACTCATCATCTCTCAGCGTGGCCAATCAAGTTCTGGAAATCAATTTCTGCTCCAGTGTTCAGTACTGATTTTTCACATTTCTAAATTCATGTGCTGAGAGAAAGGACCTGTTTGGCCTGACTATTTCACATTTGACTAAGGCCTTCTACAGAGGTCTCCCCAAAGGCCATGGTCATCCCTGAGATGAACTGTTTTACTCCTTTCACAGAGAATGCTGTGTCAGTCTGAGATTGAAGAATGGTATTTACACTTTTTCTGGAGCCTTCATTATCTTTGTCTCTGCTTCAAGAACAGAGTTTAGCAAAATTTTAAGATTTTTATTGATATAGGGCCGGCACTGTGGCTCACTTGGTTAATCCTCCGCCTACGGCGCGAGCATCCCATATGGACACTGGGTTCTAGTCCCAGTTGCTCCTCTTCTAGTCCAGCTCTGTGCTGTGGTCCGGGAGGGCAGTGGAGGATGGCCCAGGTGCTTGGGCTCCTGTACCCTCATGGGAGACCAGGAAGAAGCACCTGGCTCCTAGCTTCGGATCAGCATAGCTCCAGCCATGGCGGCCATCTGGGGGGTGAACCAATGGAAGGAAGACCTTTCTCTCTCTCTCTCTCTCTCTCTCTCTCTCTCTCACTGTCTATAACTCTACCTGTGGGGGGGAAAAATTGATTGATAGTTTTTTTAACATAGACTTCGTTATTTAGAGAAGTTTAAATTTCACAGGAAAATTGAGCAGAAAATAGATTTCTCATGTACCTCTACCAACACACATGCACAACTCTCCTGCTATCAACCTCTTGCACAGAGTGGTACATCTGTTATGATCAATGAATCTACACTACCACATCATTTTCATCCAAAATCCATAGTTCACATTACAGTTCACACTCAGTGTTACACACTCTATGGATTTTGACAAATATACAGCATGTGACCACCGTATCATGTGATCCATGTTGGGTCACACAGAGCAGTTTCACTGCCCTAAAAATTCTCTGTGCTCCACTTATTCACTATAAACCCTGATCTTTTTTATAGTTCTGCCTTTTGCAGAGTATCATAAAGTTGGAATAATTAGTACGCCACTGCTTTAGATGGGATTCTTCCACTTTGTAGCCTGCATTAGGGCTTCCTCTGTGTCTTTTCACAGCTTCTGAGCTCATTTCTTTTAGTGGTGAATAATAGTGCATTGTCTTCATGTACTATGTCGCTCCCCCTCTTCAAGGAGGAACGACACATGACCCTGCGTTGTTCTTTCGTCTGCTCGGCCATCCCCGGGTTTGCTGCTGGTTCTTCCCGGGTTGGCTACTGTCCCTTCCACCTCCGTGGAAGGGCAGTTCCCCCTGCCACTTTTCCCCACTTCCGCGGGGGAGCGGCACACTGCCGGCCGGCTCTCTCGGGGGCTGCACAGGTGTTCCCTCAGATGTTCCTCTTAGATGTTCCTGGTGCATGTTGTCTCTCTCCTCCTTTATAGTCCTCTTCCACCAATCCCAACTCTGCTACCCACACGCCGAGTACGCTGCTCTCCTCCAATCAGGAGTAGGTCCTACAGTTTATTGGTTGAACTGGAGGCAGCTGCGTAGAAGCTGTTTCTCCCTTCTCAGCGCCATATTGTGGGAGAACAGATGCATAGAATAAGTCTTAATTCCAGTAACTTAGTCTAGTCCGAGTTGCTCCCCACAGTACTACAGTCTTTTTTTTTTTTTTAATCTATTCACTAACTAAAGGGACATCACAGTTACTTCCAAGTTTTGGCAGTCATAGTAAAACTGCTGTAAACCTCCACATGCAGGTTTTTGTGTTGACATGTTTTCCATTCATTTAAGTTTATTACAAGGACCCAAACTGCTGGATTATATGGTAGGTTTAGTTTTATAGGAAACTCCAAAAATGTCTTCCAACTGGTTGACATTATTCTTTCCCAAATACTAATTTGGCACTCACATAAAAGAATTTAATCATGCTCTAGTAAGTCTATGAAAATCCTCTTCTATTATCGTTAGTATCTTTTTTTGCTCTTCACAACAGTCATCTAAGCCCCATACTTTGCCAACCATCCATCTACCACCGTGATTTTCAGAGAAAATGAATCTACAGGCTTAAACTTCTTGGACTATTTGATACCTCCAAGATACAAAATTTCTTGCACAATTTCCT